GACGCAGAGGGGCAATCTTTGCAACATGTTCGGACAGTCACGGCAAGACGAACATGAAAAGGTGTTCACTACAGCGATGACGAGCGAGTGACGTGAGCGCAAGAAAGGCGCGCTGCCAACAATCAATGTAACGCATTCATTTATCCGCCCTTACCTGCACCGATTCGAGCTGACTGAGGTCTGGTTGTCCGACGCGGAAGATAGCGTGCCACGCTGCCACGCAGATCATAACATACCTTTCACGCCATCTTGCTCAACCCTTTGTCTTCCCAGCTTGCTTCCGCTGTGCGCCCGAAACCTGTCAGAGGCAAGCAAATAAACTAAGCAGGCGTGGCCACTTTCCCTCGCAGTTGGCTCCAGCCACTTGGGATCGAGACCTCCCCTCCCTATAGCTGCCGAAAGACCAGATCAACCTAAACCCTAACAGCCTAAACACCAGAAGAAACCAGATTTCAGTCCGCATTGGCACACCTTCGTGTTCAAATTGCCAGCTCAAAGACCATATTCACAAAAAAGGCGCAGCGCCAATGATTTACTCAATGAATGGAAGCCTTTTCTGCTGCCGCGCCATGCAAGCCATCTATTTTCACAAACCTGCGCTGCGACGGCTAGCTTAGCTTCGTCACCCTAAGTCACCGAAATTAGTAAATTTACATTTTCATTGGATTTACGTAAATTGATGAATTTAGGTGGCAAAAAGTGTAAATGGGTTAGTAAATGTAAATTTGATTTAGGTACAACCTAAATTTATTTAGGTTGGTCTTCACTAAGGGTTTTCCTATTTTTTCATTACGTTTTGATTTGCAAATATTCAAAACTGCATCTAAAACACATCTTTTGAAGAAAGTAATTTGTAAAACATATAGCCACAAGTAGAGACACTTGGATAAAACCACAAGCACACACACTCAGGTATAAGCACGCAGGAAAGACAAGCACAAGAAAAATATCTTGGGTATAAGCACCATGAGCTTTCCATCCTTTGTCCTGTCCAGGACTTGGTTCACTATCTTGCGCTGTTCTTCTGTGCGTCCCTTCTTCATGCTCAAGGTCTTCTTCCAAGCCTGCACAACATAGTCTGGCAGAGAGCCCTCAGACAACAAGGCCTTGAACTTGTTGTCCTTCGACCTGTCCTTCTTGGCCTCATCGCACTCGAAGAAGTCTGCATTGTCCTGCTCCTCCTCCTCCTCCTCCTCCACATTCTCTTGGTTCATCCTCTTCAACTTCTGGTGCTTCCTCCTCCTGATCCTCCTGCAACCCTGCTGCCCAGCCATGAGCTGCTGGCTTCTTCTTTGGCTGTACGGTTTCTCCACTGGCAGCAGGCCTTTTTAAAGAGCCTGCCTTTGGCTTTGGCTTTGGCTTGCTCTTTCCTTTTGCTTTGGGCTTCTTCCCTTTAGGGCTCTTTGCTTTTGGGCTCTTGGATTTTGGGGTCTTTGCTCTGGAAGCTGGCCTTTGCTTCACAGGTGTACTGGGCTCTTCAACTACACCATCGTCCTTCTCCTCAGGAGTGACTTGGCCCATGGGGATCTCTTCCTCTGCCATGCCAATGCCAACAAGCTACTGCGCCTATCTTTCAAACCTTTCAAAGCTCTTTGAGATCAATCTAGCTGCAAAAGTAAACAACAACCAATAAGCCAGCTGTGCAGTAAACTCTCAACAACTTCAATTTGAACAACATACAATGCTGATCAACTCTTTGTGCAAAAGCATTACCTTCTCAGGTAAAGGATAAACCAACTTCAATTTGAACAACATACAATGCTGATCAACTCTTTGTGCAAAAGCTTTACATTCTCAGGTAAAGGACAAACCAACTTCAAATTGAACAACATACAATGCTGATCAACTCTTTGTGCAAAAGCATTACATTCTCAGGTAAAGGATAAACCCACAAGAATGCTAGATATCTTTTTGCTGACAATATGATGCAGAATATCATAGCTTTTCATAAAATCTGTCAAAAAATTGTATGAATTTTTGATGCACTTTTGATGCACTTCTGATGTACTTTTCAAAAGTGTATACACTTTTGAAAAGTACATCAAAAGTACATCAGAAGTGCATCAAAAGTTCATCAAGAATTCATCAATATTTTCTCTTAAATTTCTAGTTTTTTGAACTAAATTTCATAAATACATATCAAATACACTTCAACTCACAACAAAACTAAACAAGACTAAGCACACAATTCCAAGTTGAATGGCGTCCTCATGTAAAGTATACTTACACAAAGTCTCAACCACTGAAGTAAAATACACTCAAGTAAAACCATCCTCAAGTAATGTCTGCCATGCTCAAGTAAAGTGTGCCATGCTCAAGTAAAGTCTGCCATGCTCAAGTAAAGTGTGCCATGCTCAAGTGAAATCACATCCTCAAGTAAAAGCTCAACAGGTAAAGTCACACCCTCATGTAAAAGCTTCTCAAGTAAAGTCAGATCTTCTTCATGTAACAGCTTCTCAACATCATGTCACAATGCGTGCCCTCAACTCTACCCCAAAGGCTGCTTGTGTCTTTTTCACTCCAAGGATTCCGGAGATGAACTGCTGTCATCTTGCAGCGTCCTCATCAAGTCCATCATGGCATTGATGCGGTCACGCCTCCTGACAATGGTTTCAAGCCAACATTGACATAACTCTTGTTCATTTGCTGCAGTTAATACAAACTTGAACAATTAATTTTCAACAAGCAAACTTGTTTAAAGTTCAGTCCAAGAATCTTGTCAGCTTTGCGCTTTCACTGCTTGTTTCCTTCTTGCTGAGGTGTCTCTTGTTCTTCTTCTTTTTCTTCTTCTCACAGAGCCAAAAGATCTCTCACATAAAACATGCACCCTCACACTGGCAAAAGCCATCAGAGAATCAGAGAATGCTCTTCTTCCTAAAGTGAAGAAAAGTACATATCCTCAAGTAAATTTACTCCCTCAAGTAGACACCCTCAAGTAAAAATGTTTTGTTCAAGTCAAGAAGGGTACACATGCTCAAGTAAATGCAATCCCTTCAAGTAAAGGCAAAGTCCACACCTCCTGGCATGCTCAGTCAACAAAAACAAAAATCCATAGCGCAAATATCCTCAAGTACATGTTGTCCTGTAGAAAACCTGCCTCTTTGGAGAAAGCCAACTCACATAAATAGAGACATTTTCTGCTTCAAAATCATGCTCGCAAAAATTTACTCATAACCTAAAAAATTTACTAATAACCTAAATTGGATTTACTCATAACCTAAATTGGATTTACTATTAAATTTACGTAAATTTTTACGTAAATTTTCCTTAGTAAAACCAAAAATTTACGTAAATTTTATGGTTAGTAAAATTACTAATTTGGGTGACTTAGGGCAATGCCAAAGCGTCAAACGGGGAAGAGGCTGCATAGCATGTTGGTGAAGCCACAACTTGCAATCTCTAAGTGGCAAGCCTAATGACCAGCAATGCCAAAAAAAGAACAATGCCAGTGTCGGCGTGATTTTGCACAAGACATCGCCCAAACATTGAAAGAGCAAAGGGTAAAACCATGTGCAGATTTCGTGGCAGGCACAGCGCTTTGTGAAGCTCCATGTGCAGATTTCGTGGCAGGCGCAGGACTTTGTGAACCTCTATGTGCAGATTTCGGGGCAGGTGCAGCACTTTGTGAACCTCCATGCAGATTTCGTGGCAGGCACAGCACTTTGTGAACCTCCATGTGCAG